CTACTTGAGCGCGAGGACTGTCTTTAAGAAGTTGTGCGGTGCCGTTGCACGCGCAGCAATTGCACTTCTAACTCAGCTGTATGCTACCCCTCCTGCTTCCCCTTACTTTCCGCCCCAGTCGCTGGCGGACGCTGGTAGACGCTGGCAGACGCTAGATCGATATCTATACTTTCCTAGTCGCTGACGCTGCCGGACGCTCGAACGCTAGTGGTCGCGTAGACGCTGGTAGACGCTGGTGGATTCTGCCGCAAAGTATGAACATTCAAGCCCAATTCCCATGCATTATTGAGCGGGGAAAGACACGCTTTTGCAGCTACGGATCTATACGCCCCACACATTGTTAGGACCGTCCTCGGAGGTGAGTGTACTGCTTGTCTTTGAAACAGGAGCACTGTAGTGATCGTCAGGATGAAATTGCATTACTGATGGTAAGTTTGGATGGCAAAGATCTGCGTGATCAGCCGAGGTAACGCAACTACCCTCAGTCCTTAGGCGGGCCACCGTGAAAATAGCACTCTTCCGAAGTTTTCTTATCTTTCTACCCTTCTCTTTTCATTTGTTATACTTTCATGTGGCTTTTATCAGACTCAGACGAAACACTAATAATTTTGGTACGGAATTTATTCATTCTCATGCTTTTCATCCTCGACTTATAGCCTTGCGGACACTGGGGCTTTTGTGGGGACAAGGTCTGGCTCGGCGCCATCCTCTCCTTCACCAATTGTGGACCTGACGTGCGACCATAATTATGGAAAACAGGCTGGCGCTGCGCCAAACCAAGCCCCCGTGAGACGCCCTAGCCCCCGAAGTGAACAAGGCAGTATTTAGCCATTTTACTACATATACGTCAGGCGCTTGAAGGTAATCGAAATGCCTTTTTTTTCTTTAAGGTCGTCCTAGCAGCTAGAGCTGTGACTGCTGATAAGGATGCTCATGGAGCGGGTAAGGATTCCGTTGCTGGGTTACTTCATGGCGATCTGCCACCAGAATTTCGACGTATTGCCGCTCCGGATACGCCATTAGATAGGAAGAATAGGAGAGATTTTGGGCATCAAAGTATTTGGTAGGCCCAAACTATATCTGGCAAGCCTATGCTAAGCCTATATGTTCCTATTTTTGTTGACATGCCGTTGATGACCGTTGATGAAACATTTGTATATGGGCAGATTACATATAGTTTGTATTCTAAGGTTTTTTTCTGATTGCTTTCTGTGTACAGTTGTGCATCCTACTTGTTATATTTAGAAGATCTCAGTTACTCCGTTTAATTATTATGCTTAATCAATGAAGTGCTATTCTTTTGTTGAGCCGTATCCATGAGAATACTTCTGAGGCATAATATTAGGAGCCCATTGTGCTCGTCAGGACTTGAAATTACGCGAATCACTAGAAGTCGAAGGTGTAGTCCATGCTGGTCGTATGAGCGGGTCAAACTTCTAAAAAGAGTGGTACATCAATAAGGAAGGCGTACTTGTTGGGTACCGTTCCATGCCATAAGCCTGGATTGTCCTTTGCAGACAGAGGCTATGGTGATGTCAGTAGGCGTATTGGGCATCCCAGAGTAGTGGGGGGGGGGACGTAGCTGTGTACCTCATTCGAAGAAGGTATTGACGATTTTCGTGCGTTGCCATTCAAGACAACAGGCATTCCTCGTGCTGGACAAAAGCATGATATCATTTGCTCCAGAAAAACAACGCAGCTGCGGCCAGATTTACATGGAGCACGCAGCCACGCCCTCCCCATCTCCAGGATATAGAGTGTATATGTTGGTGGAAATGAGTACCAAGCTCCTTTTGCGGTCGCTGAGCTCGAAAGGACTAATCAAGAGTCAGCAGTGGTAATCTCTGCTGC